ATTGTGCCTAGCCAATAAAATCACGTCACGCACGATGAGAAAAAAAAATGGCGCAGTAACATGAGAATATTCTTCTCGTGTTATTCATGTGTTATTGTGTGTTATTCATGTGTTATTGCATGTTATTCATGTGTTATTGATGTGTTATTTTGTTATTATAACTCCAAGAATATTCTCAAGATACAATAATACATGAATAACACACAATAACACTTAAATAACACGGAAAATATTCCCGACAGAGAAAAAAACAGCGCAGTAACACGGGGAATATTCTTCCCCTTGTTATTCATGTGTTATTGTGTGTTATTGATGTGTTATTGTGTTAATATAACACCAAGAATATTCCTAGGACACAATAACACATGAATAATACACAATAACACATGAATAACACGGAGGGGAATATTCCCCGTGTTACTGCGCCGTTTTTTTTTTCTCTGTCGTGCAGGGTGTCGTGACGTTATTTCATTGGCTACACATGTTACTTTACGTGCGTAGTACTGATGTAATATTTTTTCCTGAAAAAAGATGGCATTTTTTACGAAGATGTCATATCGAACTGACTCCATCAGTCGATGTAGTAATATGAAAACCTAGTAATCATTTTTCGCTCGTGGGACAAGTGATTGCAATTATAATCATCTTTTTATAGTGGAACTTTTCAGCGAGGTCAAGCTCCGTGATTTTTTCATTTCCGAGTTTTCCACGTAAACACTTTCGTTGTCATTATTAGTTTTTTTTTTTTTTTTATGGCTGTCTTGAATCTTCGTATCATGCTAAGATGGCAATCTATTGTTCTAACAATCGCAAATTTTATAGCACGCATCACACATATCAATATCATACCTTATAATATCTAATAAAAAAAGAAGAATCAAACTTTCAGTCAATAATATTCTAAATAACTTCTATTTTTATTTATCTTAACTCAAATCGTTGCACGCATGGCTAATTTATATCAAACCAATGAAATTCAAATCAAAATAATTACAGAGCACTCATGTGCTCTTAGTCATCAAATTCTCATCTAAAACATTATACTTCATGACACAACCATAACCTACATTTTTTTTTTCTTGGAAGATTTTCATGCATATTACTCAATTCTTATACATTTACATATCTAATACCTAAATTTTATTTTAAACAATATTCGATAATAATTTTTTTTTTATATAATCAACATATTTTAATACATTTTATTGCAAAAAAAAAAACTTCTCATCACAAGACTTTTAAAAATTTCACAAAAATTTTAAAATTTTTTAAGAAAACAATTCCACACAGAACTAAAATGCAGGCAAAATTTCACCACAAGCCCTTAACTTTAATTACAGGCGATAGTTTATAATCCACTTGGGTCTTCAGGATTTTTTTTTTAATATATATATTCTTTTAAATTATTGTTTACATTGTTCACATTTTTATTCTTGTCGTATAAAATATATCTTTTAATTTTTAACAATATAAAAGATCAATTAGAAACATACCACCAAATGAGAATTTTATTCTTGGTTGAAGTGGAGCAATTCTTCGAGCCTCTTTTGTGATAGAAAAGTATCACTTAGAAAATTTTATAAGATGGTGATGAGACCTACAATGCTATATGGCGCTATATGTTGACCTTTAAAGGAGATGTGTAAAACTAAGTTAAGTGTAGCCTAGATGAGAATGCTTGTGTGGATGAGTGGCTTTACACTAAAGAGACAAAATGCGAAATAAATATATTTGTGATAGGGTTGGTTTAGCTCCACTGACGGACAAAATTAGAGAGAGCCGTCTTAAATTATTTGGTCACATTAAACTTCGATCATCTGACGATCCAATTAGAAGAGTGAATGTTCTATATTCAACTTATGTTAAGAACGGCAGAGGTTGGCCTAGGATGACTTGGGTATATTGTATAAAAAATGATATTATTCTATTAGAATTAAATAAAAATATGACACTTATTAGGACGTAATGGAGAAATAGGATTCATGTAGCGAACCCCACTTAGTGGGATAAAGATTTTGTTGTTGTTGTTGTTGTTGTTGTATCAAAATATCAATATTTTAATTTTTTAAAAGTGAAGTACATACTTTCATGCATAGCTAAGGCGGCATGTATACAAAAATTGAAAATATGTGTGCAAATATGTAAATGAATAAGAATCAAGTAGTATGCAAGTAAATTTTCCACAAAAAAAAAAAGGAAAAAAATAAATTTGGTACTTTGACAATAAAATTATCAGCAACATCTTTAATTATTTCTGTGAGGAATTACACTACATAATTTGCACATTAATTATCATTACAAGCCTATCATAAATCTAGGAGATATAAACAGAGCTACTTGCACATCTTGAATTATTCTCGATTTCATTAATTATAAGCTCTCTCTCCTCCTCGTACTGCTCGTCCTCATCTGGGCCAAGAGACAATGGAAGATGAAAATCAATAGAAAACACATTGAAAAAGTAGAAAAAGCTTGCCCTGCATTGCCACAAAATGAGATGCCCACATAATATTTGAAAATTCAGTTGCTTGTAAATAACTAAACATAAAATACTTTTTTTTTGTTTTGGTGAAAATAAAATAAATTCAAAATATTATTATTTTATTATCATTAGTGAAAATAAAATCAATAAATTTGAAAGATTTTAAAAGCCAAACAAACAATAAGATTTAGTAAGGCTTCATTTGAGAGGGCTGCTAACTTCCTTTGTGTTGCAGTGCATGCCGACGTGAAGAAAAAATTTCATTTGGCGAAGGAACATTTCTCAAACTTCTTCTGAAGTTCTTTCACAAGAATGACAATTTTTCATAGTTTTAAATTGCAGGTCATTTTCTCTGTTCTGCCCTATTTTATTAGGAGTTTTAACTCGAATTTCTTAGGAGTTGTAGCTGTCTAAGGAAATGAAGTTATGAAAAAGCTGCCCCAAATGGATCCTAAATTTGTACCGTGTGTTTTCTTTATAGCCAAAAAACAAAGCTACATGGTTGTCACCATATTTGGCAGCCAAGGTACATCCAAAGGAAGCTCAAAAAATCAAATGGGAAATAGGATCACATCCAAGAGACATAATAGTAAAGGGCATCTAGGGTAAAACACACAATTCCACATAAAGATAATTGTTAAGGAAGGGATGACTAAGTCATGACAATAAGTTGAGCTTGCTTCAAAGATACAAGACAGCACCAAAAAGACTGCGAAAAACAACCAAATCCATATAAAGATACTTGTCTACACAAGGAAGGATAAATCATAAAAAAAGATTGATCTTTCCTCAATGATATAAGAAAACATCAATAAAAATCGGAGCTTGCACAACTATAAAAGGCCTACCACAACTGCTAAATCTATGACTACGAATTAAGCTAAAGAATATGTATGAGATTAAATGGAGATTCTTCATGCAAACTCAAGACTAGTTGGTACAAGATGGCCCAAATTAAGTAGGATTAGGCAAATTCATCATCGCCGTCATTAGCCATATTCCAAATAATTGAGGCTGGCTTTATGAATCCTTATTCTCCATAATTTTCTATTGCATTGCATCGCATGCTAAATTTTAAATTTATAATTTTTTTTTTTAGTTTATCAGTAACTAATGGTATTGCATAACTTTTATCATGTTTCTTTTGATCTACCCCTCATCAATCATAATCTTTTAATGTTAGTTTAATCTAACCTACCATATTAGAGCATTTTAGACTCTTCATTATCTTCTAATATTTTATCTTCAAAAAGGTAAAGCAAAGCCATGATGATTTGATGATCATCTTCAATAGGTGCTACTCCCATTATCTATCTAATATAATCATTTCTCAAAATAAACTTCATAATTTTAACACACTTCCATCTTCACATTATTATTTATGCAAATGGAATTCATACAGATGATAGATCTAACAACAAATATATAAAGTTTACCCTTAGTTCTTCACAATATTTAGTTACCGCAAAAAATATTTTGAGATATTTCTCTATTTTAATTATAAAACTTTGATTCTAGAAATTATGTTTTCATCTAAATCAAAACTCATACATAATATACCCAAGACATTCATTTATTGATGATGAGTTGTTACTGTTAAATCTTAGAATCAAAAGCATTAATTTGTGTTGGTTGTCCACCCACAGGAGTTCCTTCCATTTAGTACATATGAGTTTAAGAGCAATTTCCTTAATGTACTTATATAAAGTTAAGCACTTCGGCTTCCAGAAAAGCATCATTTAAAGCCAGCAAACTAATCAAAAGATTATATGGATCAAAACTGAAAATAAATATACCTTTGCTGACGGGAAGATTATGAAGTATCATTAGCAGTTCTTTATGATTATTTGCCAAGAGGTCTTTAATCTCTCGTGGCTTGTTTGGATTAGCAACAAATACCTGAGCATTCATGAAAGTAAGACGGAATCAATGAATTGTTTAGTCAGCAAGTTCTACTGCCAGAATTCTATTTAACTATTCTGAATAAATTACAGGTAAGAAATATTTAATCAGCTGGTCATTATGAGCTTAAGTTTATTGACACAATGAGAATATAACTGGTGCTATAAATCACTAATTTTAGAAATGAGAACATTATGATTAATAATAAAACTAAAAAAGATTGAATGGAAAAATGAAAACTTGCTTTTTCTTAGAGTACAAGGGGTTTCCTTAATCAAGCCATTGTTATGACTCAGGCTCATTCTTCAATAGGTACAGGATCAAAGATCACATTCTTCTCCCACTTAGAAGCTCATACTTTCAAGAAAAAAATGATAATTTGGTTTTATATAGTTGTAAAGTTCCAGCACAAATTTTGAAGGTATCTCACAACCAACGAAAGAAGTGATGTGGCATCATGGGACCCACCAAGGATGATCAGGGACCGCATGCTTGGTCGGCCAATTCCCATGTACCGAGAGGGCGGTACATCTCGGGCAGAAAAAAAGAAGATCAACGCCCAAAGAACCTTCTGATCAGACTCACGTGGACGAGCCCAACACCTGCTCTGGTCGAGCCGGGTGAGCAAGGCGCACCACGAGGTTTCAGAACCTTAGGTTCTGATCCTTAACAAATGGCCGGCCAGCCTAACAACCGTTCGGAAGAAAAGTCGGTCGCTCCAATGGCCGCCGGGCTTGACGACCGCTTGGCCTAATGGGCACCTGACCAAATGACCATTCAGAAGAAAAGTTGATCGTCCAATGGCTGCCCAACCTGCTCCCCACCCTGAAACCCGCCCCGCCTAATGGCTGCTCAGCCGCCCTACCGGACATCAGTGGGCCCCTGGGCCATATATCGTACATACGTATACTAGGGGTATAGAATTTAATTGTACATCCACATTCCTATAAATAAAGGTCCACTTCATGAATAAATGTTATGTGATTTTACTATTCGCAACTCAACTCTCTGTTTTCTCTTTCTCTCCAACGTGCTCTATCCCTTGGGTGTGCCTTCCGGACAGATTAGGATTCAAAATTCTAAAAGGGGCGGTAAGCATGGAACCATGTAGCCAACAAGAAGAGGAGTGCAGTGATCACAAAGAGAAGAGGTTGGCCAGAGAGAAGTAACCAATGTAAAAACTTGCATGAGAGGATATAGAGGAAAGCTTGCAATGAGGGATGCAAGAGATGAGGACTCAGATCATGGACCAAATGTCGGGTCAAATCATGGAGGTCATGAGAGTCATCGTGGCCTTGGCATGGGGTCAGGCCCCTCAAGGGAAAAATCAGCCGCAAAAGCCCGCACCGACGCACAACGACAAGAGGTGGAGCAACGGTCCAGAGGTGGTCGGCCACTAGCAGTACGAAGACAGCACAAGATCAGCGCGGGTAGAGAGGCAGCGGTTAGAGTGCACTGGAGTCCCTTTCTGCCTCCACATCTCTGGAGCGGAGCCCCCATAAAAGTTCAAATTGCCAACTTCGGAGACTTACAGAGAGCGGTCAGACCTCAGTAGATCAAATTGCCAACTTCGGAGACGAGACTTACAGAGAGCGGTCAGACCTCAGTAGATCACATTGCCTCATTCACTACGCCCATGTGCTTGCCCAAAATCTCAGACGCGATCACGTGCAGTCTGTTTTTCACCAGTTTGATGTCGTTTGCTCTGCAGTGGTTCCACGCACTTCTAACTGGGAGCATCAGCAACTTCGCTAATTTCAAGAGATTGTTCTTAGCATAGTTTGCCAGTACCCGGAAACCCACCAAAAGTGTGTATTCCTTATGGCAAATCAAGCAAGGTCAGCATGAGAGCCTACGCACATTAATTTCACACTTCCAGAGAGAAATGTTGGATGTAAAGACCTCCGAGTTGACACGGCCCAAACCGACTTGAAGCAAGGCTTGAGGTTCGAGAGATATTCTTATAACCTCAGCCTGAATGAACCCCAAAACTTGGTCGAGTTGTTGGAATGAGCCAACAAACACATCCTCGCAGAGGAGAGCACCCCCAAGTAGGAGCCATAAGGGCTTCAGGCCCAGAAAAAAGCAACCCCTAGCGGCAAATCAAAATCAAGGGAGCAGCATAGACCACCTGTCTGACGTCAGTTCGAAGACGGTCAATCCTCCAACAACAATAGAGCATCTGATTGATACAACTAGTAGGGAGGCAAGGAGAGAGACTGAGATTTGTGACCGGCCCGGCATTATGAGAGGCCGACTCAACATTATGAACAACCATACAACGAATTTGAAGGCCCACGATTCACTCTTTTGAAGGTATCAATGACAAAGATTGTTGATGTCATTCAGGACAAGGAGTACTTCAAAAATGCTATACCGATGAGAGTCAAGACTTTCCTCTGCGACACGAGGAAGTTTTGTAAGTATCATCGGGATCACAACCATGCATAGAGGAATGCCAACACCTCCAGAGCCTCATCGAGGAATTGATCAAGGCGGGGAAGCTGAAGGAGTGTGTGACCCAGGGACGCCCAGGGTAGAGATAAGGCAAAACTCCGACCATAGAAGCCCCATCAGACCCTACCCAGATGAATGTTGTCGACATCACCGAAATGGTCTCAGCCATTCTCGGAGGGACAAAATCCTCCAAATGGAGCTCCCATAAGAGATCTAGGACCGGGGAACCGTGCAACCTCACATCAATGTAGAGAAGGGGGAGTTGTCCCTCATCACTAGGGGTGTAAACGAACCGAACACGAACAAACAAAGCTTGTGTTCGTGTTCGGTTCGTTAAAATTTAGTTTGTTTGAAATAAGCTCGTATTCGTTTCTTAACGAACGAGCCGAACACGAACCGGACACGAGCTGTTCGCGAACGACGAGCCAGTTTGACATCCCTAATATTAATATATAAAAATAATATTATATATTAATTATATAACTTATATTATATAAATATACAATATCTATATTAGTATATTACTACTATAGTATATTAATATATTATTATTATTA